AAGGTCTCCTTCAAGCCGTGCCCTTGGCGGCTGGCTGACCTCCCCCAGCCCCGCCCCGCCCTAGGCCCCTCCCTGGCTTGTCCGCAGCGTGGCCACCACTCTCCCTTGGCTTCTGCCCTGAGCTGTTTTGAGCCACCTGTTGCCAATCATTACAGCCTCTGGTTTGGGAACTTTGCTGTGTTTACGGCCTCATCACGCTTCTTAAACTTCATTAATAAGTCTTTGTTTTCACCACTCAACTCTGATCTGTCGATGCTTTTCCTGGCTACAGGCTTTGGTGGCCCAGGGTGAACTCCCCTCGCCCGATGGACCCAGCTTTAGATTTGACACCCAGACAGGCAGGGACCTCAGTGTCACCTGCAGTCTGGACTCAACATCACTCTTGGGTGCAGGCCTCCACAGCGCTCCCTAAGGTCCTCGGGGGTCCTGCAGGCCCTGGCAATTGAGAGCCTATCCGCTCCCCGCCACTCTGTCTCAGCCTTCCTGCAGGCCACACCCCCACCTGGACCACAGCCAGACCCCCACAGGACTACTTTGTGCTGTTTCAGATTCCTTTCTGAACACACCCAATGCACAGTGGTGAACTCCATCAAAAGCTCTGTGGAATGGGGTGAAATACAAACAAAAACGCAGCCAAAGAAACAAACCCTGGTCTCCCTGCTGGATGTTCCAGAAATTGCTGGATGGAGTCTCAAAATCCTCCTAAGAAGTCTGACCTTAGCCCCCCTCATTGTCCCTAGACTGCAGTTCCTGAGGAGCAGCTGCCTCTGCCTTGCACCTGCAGCCTTGCCTCTAGATGGCTTTTTTCTTTCCTCGTGTCCCTGTTAGACACTGCCTCCCCGCCACTCCAGGCCTGGCAGGTGGCTTCCCTGAGGTCGTTGGCCTTTGTGCCTGCCTGCCTTCTTCCTTCCGCCCTGCAGCAGTCACCAAAGCACACACAGATGCCAGGGGACACTGGCCAGGGAAAGCATAAGTGCAGGTGTGGGAACGTGGCACAATAGGCAGCAAGTGTCGCAGGCTTACTGGGACCTCAGGGGGCCGAGCCGTGCTCATTTCCCGAGCACTTGGCAGAGAACACGCCATGTGGTGGGTGCAGCATGGATGTGGGCTCCATGTTGGTCATGCCTGTGGGGTGGTTCCCCAGGGCAGGCTCCAAATCAGCTCAGCTGCAAAGGGCAGGGTGGTTTATCACTGACTTGTGACCAAGTCAAGGAAGTCATGGGTATTTATGGCACTGAGCATTTGCAAAGAAATAATGTGTTTTTCTAGTAACTATTTGCAAATTATGAAACAGCGTGAGTGGGCATGTACTGTAGGATTGCTAAGGATTAAGCATCCGCTGTACCCAGAGGACACAAATCCTGGCTGAACGGGCCTTGCCTCTTGTCCCTGCAGTCACGATCCAAAACATGGCTCTGCAAAATATGTCACTTGTGCATTTGATTATTTTGAGCTGCAGGAGAGAGAAAGAGAGAGAGAGAGAGAGCGCGCGCGTGTGCAAGCCCATCCCCTATCTGACCCAAAGCAGAAACTCCAGAGAAATGAGGACAGCCAGAAAGCTCTCCCAGGGAAGGTTTGCAGCCATGGAGAAGACAGAGTCGGTGCCAACTTGAGCCTGCACCCAAACCATTACTTGACAGCCGTCTCATAGTCTGCTGCCCTTGAAAGCCTAAATCCGATCCTTCTTGTTACTCTTCTTAATATTTTCCTTTCCTTTTTTGTTTTCTTTTCAAGGTGCTTGATATCGAATACAGGGCCTCAAGCACACTAGGCAACTGCTCTACCACTGAGCTAGACCCCAGCCCTAACAATGTACTTTTCTTTAGTCAAGATGTGGACGTGGGGGGCTGGGGATTTAGCTCAGTGGTTCCGCTGCCTGCCTTACAAGCGCAAGGTCCCGAGTTCGATCCCTGGTACCAAAAAAAAAAAAAAAAATCTGTGGACATGGAAGTTCTAACCTTCATACTCCCTTGTACTTGTATAAACATAATGCACATGGTAATACATTTGTTTTTCTTTTGATAAGCTGTCTTTTGTTAGTCTAGGAGTCAGGGGCCCTGCAGGAGGCCCTAAAATGGGTAAAGACTTTTTCCTCTCCTTAACATTGTCTGGGGAAGCCAGGCATGGTGGTGCACACCTGTAATCCCAGGGCTCTGGGAGGCTGAGGCAGGACAATTCCAAGGTCAAGCTGGACAAGTTAGTGATTTAACAAGACCCTCTCAAAATAAAAATTTTAAAAGGGCTGGGGAGGTAGCTCAGTGTGAAGGCCCTGGGTTCAATCACCACTACAAAAAAATAAACAAAAAAAACCAAACCCTTCTGTATATGCCAAGTTTGTTCTTCACGGAGATTTAAGAACATATAATGTTGAGTAAGAAGAATAGCCTGAAAAGGAAAATTAAGAACATTAAGCTCTTGAGAACTAAAACAACAACAACAACAAAAAAACTCCATAGTTGCTGGGGGAATAAAAACAACCCAACCTAGAAAATAAAAAGTACAAAGGAATCTGCTGAAAAAATTAGTTGATGAATCAGAAAATTAATTCAAGGAACACTCTGAAAATCTGAAGGAAAAAAGGCAAAGCAACATGATTAATGGGGAAAAAGATATAAAAATGTATTTGGAGTCCTAATATCTGTTTGTATTTGTAAAAATAAAGCACTAAGGGAAATCAAGATGTTAAAAAGTAGAAGACAGTTTTCCTAAGCTGAAGGAAAAACATGAGTCTTCAGATCAACAATAGGCCTAGAAAATAACTGAAAAGAGAAAAGACAAATCTCAACAGAGCTTTCTCAGTGACTTTCAGGAAGAAAACAAGTGTGTATTCTTAGTAAACAAAAACAGTGTGCACAAAGGAAAAATAGGATTTCTCGTTCAATACACCAGAGGCTAGAAACTTACAAAGCAATGTTTATATTTTCTGAAATGAAAGGATTATGACTGTGATCCCTGAATTTACAGCTAGCTAAATGTTCCATTAGCAAAAGGGACATAAAAATAAGACATTAAATACTTAATGTTTAATAAAATAAATATAAATAAAATAGTGTATTCCAACCAAATGGAAAAATATATCAAATAATTCAAGAACAGGAGGACAAGCTATAGAAATTTGTTAATTGTTTGCTTTTGTCTTGTGATCCTAGGGGTTGAACCCAGGGCGCTCCATCACTGAGGGACATCCTCAGACCCTTTCTTTGTCTCAATAGGTCAAAAAGAAAAAGTCTAAAGTTATGGCTAAGAAGGTGTAACTTGACTATGAAGCTTACTAATTATTAAGAAAGGAGGTTTAAAATAGAGAAGGCACAAAACCTTGGTAATAACTTGGAACTAAATGCTCACGTTACTTGAGCTAAATCATAAAATGGTAAGGGAAAGAAGGAAAGGAAAAAATATGCAAAAAGGTTTCATCCAGAAGGAAAGTTATGGTGATAGAGGAAATGCATGCTCGTATGTGCACGCATATGTGTGCATACATGTGAACCTACTTATATATGTATATATACATATGTACATAGACATATAAATTTACACATAAATATTATATAGTTTATCCTCTGTATTCAAGGATTTCACTGACCACAGGTTCAACCAACCATAGATTGAAAATATTTTTTAGAAATTGTCTACATTGCCGGGGATTTAGCTCAGTGGTTCCACCGCCTGCCTTGCAAGCGGAGGGACCTGAGTTCGATCCCTGGTACTACAAAAAAATTGTCTACACTGAACATGTACAGACTCTTTTCTTGTCTATATTCCCTAAAGAACTCAGTGTAACAACTACTTGCACAGCATTCACGTTGGATTATGTATTGTAGGTCACCTAGAGTGGACTTAGAGTGTATGAGAGGCTGTGCTTGTATCTGCTGGGTTAGGGAGCCCTGAAACCAATCACCCCCAAATATTGAGGGACAACTGTATTATGTCTAAAAAATAAAGTTTACAAGTCTTTATACTAATCTCTATTAAAGTATATAAAACTTTTCAAAGATATCACACATATTTCACCAAAATTTGATTACATTTATGAATATAGTTAATCTAATTAAATGGAATCTAAATGGAATCTAGTTATGAATTAAAATAACAATGTATCATGAGCAAGCAAGGTCTTTCCTTCTGATAGTTAAAAAACAGTTCCACATAAACACTGATTTAGTTCATCATACTAAAATGTGAAATTTCAAGATACTTTCGTAGAGTCCCAAAAGACACCTATATCTGAATTTAAAATAAAACAACAGCAACAACCAAACTCTTAATAAACCAAGAATGGAAACCAGCTGTCTTAATGTGATTTTTTTTTTTAAAAAAAAATCACCAGGGCTGGGGATGTAGCTCCACAGTGCCGCACCTGCCTGGCAAGCACAAGGTTCTGAGTTCGATTCCCTGTACTGGAAAAAAAAAATCACCCATGGAAGCCAACAATAAACATAGCAAGAAAACATAACCTTTTTCATTAAAAAGACAGGAACAAAATAAAGTTGCCTTCTCTAAACTCTGTTATGCAATATTGTTTGGGTGGTTCTGAACAATGGAACAAAGCTATAAGTGATATTGAGCCAGGTGTGGTGGCTCACACCTGTAATCCTAGCACTTCGGGAGGCTGAGGCAGGAGGACTGCAAGGTTGAGCTCAGCCTGGGCAATTTAACAACTCAGCAAGACCCTGTCTCAAAATTTTAAAATGTAAATAAAAAGGGTTGGAGATGTGGTTCAGTGTAAAGACTCTAGGTTCAATCTCCAGTACCAACAAAAACAAACAGCAACAAAACAAGAAAATCCTAAAGACTTATATTTTAAACACCAGACCACAATACTAAGCAATGTGACAAAAGTCACCACTGGGAAAGATATAAACAGACCCATTCCTCAAAATGGTGGGGGGGGGGCCCTGCTGAGTATCTAAAGAGGCAGTTGACACAGGGAGAAACACCAACACCAGCCTAAACAGCAATAAACAGACCAAAAAGCTACTCAATCTTAATGACAAAGAAATGCAAATAAACTAACAAGCAGTTGAGGATTCTGAAAAATCATTCTTGCTGTGGGAAAGGAAGCTTAACGGGTAAACACAGGAAGCGAGGTGTCGAAAGGGCCCCAAACACCTCACATTAATTGCAGGGAAGGGAGAAGGAAGCCCCTAGAAAGGGCAAGCTATTTCCCGGTTCATGTTGCTACCTTTTTGGCTCAAAGGGGAGGGCAAGACCTTATGAGGCCATCTTGTCATGGTTCTGAAAAGAAATATTCAGCACTATGTAGTAACAATGGCTGCAGAGGAAGGGAGAGGGACAAGAGGTGGGAATTAAATGGCAGTGGAATGGGAGCCTCTGCTTTCTTTGTATAAACTTTGTGAACTATATAAATGCATTCTTTATTTTAAAAATGAAATTAAAATGTGTTGTTAATAAAAATAAGTGGGTTTGATATTTTTTTCTCTTTTCATATAGACATTTCCAGAAAGCACTGCTTGGTGTCATTTAGACTTTTCAGATAGAAACTACTTAGCTCCATCTGATCCTAGAATCCAGCCTTGGAATGTCTCTTAGAATCCAGTCCTACTGAGATTCCTCGTTGGTGTTTATGGAACATTGAACTGTAAGACTTCTCTAAAGGTATTTGGTGATACGCATCAAAATGTACAATTTTTTTTTCACTACGTGGTTCAGGCTGGTCTTGAACTCACTATATAGTTGGCCTCAAACTCCCAGCAATCTTCCTGCCTCAGCTTCCTAAGTGCTGGGCTCACAGGTGTGCACCACTATGCCCTGCTCAAAATGTACAATTTTCATATCCACCCCACAATGGCACCTCTAAAAATCTACCCTAGGCCCGTGGACCCCATGCACCCCTGAAGTTGCAGAGCCCGGTAAGTGAGCGCCTCTCTGCGTCTTTGCTATCCCCACGCCCTGGCTAGGGGCCCACGCATTCCACCCAGGCATCCACTCTCACCTCGTCTGTGTGGGGGTGCGGTGGTTGGGATTGGAGCAGAAAATGTTGTTGGACTTGCGAGTGCTATCCAGAAACTCGCGAGCCTCGTGCTGGCGGAGCTCGACCAGCGGCCGCGCCTCGTGCTTGAGGAACCACTGGTGCGCCTCAAAGCACTTGGCACACAGCAACTGCTCGCACTCAAAGCACCAGAAGTCGGCCAGCTCCTTGCAGCGGGTGCAGGCGGCCTGTGCGTCCATGATCTGTCTGTACAGCGTCAGGCGCCGTTGCAGGCTCTCGAAGAACACGTTGTCCAGGGCGGGCACAGCGCCCGCCAGCTGGGGCGCCTGGCAGATGGGGCACTGCAGGCCTGGAGCCTCTAGGCATGCTGAGCACAGTGTGTGCAGGCAGGGCAGCAGCTTGGGGCACTTGGCTTGGGTCTGGCAGCCCTGGCAATTCAGGAACTGGAACTCCTCCTCCATGGCTTCCTGGGGGACCAAAGAGGGAGGTAAGGCCGGGAAGTCCTGGCAGTCCCCGCCCACGGCACCACCCCTTAGCCACAGGCAGGACTGGAACCTCACATTCCATTCTACCCAGATGATGCTAAATCCCCGCCCGTCGGCACCCCACCTCCACATCTGCTTAGGACTTCTGGCTCCCACTGCACTGTTAATTGAGCATCTACTTCCTTGATACCAGACACAGACCGGCACCTTGAAACAAGAGTGTATAGGATACATGCCCGCCTTCAAGGAATTCAGTGTGGACAGTAGATTGGTAACTACCAACCTCATGTACAATACTGAACAGTCAAGGGGGAGCTCAAAAAGTTAAATGTATAACTGCCACATGACCTAGCAATTCCATTACTAGACATAATACCCGAAGGAACTGAAAACCCCAGATACTTGTACTCTAGCGCCTGTAGCAGCATTAGATATAACACTCCAAAGAAATGAAAACAAAAATACAGACACTTTACTACTCTAATGCACTCTATTGCAGGTAGCAGCATTAGTCACCATAGCCAAAAAACCGACGTGTCCAGGAACAGATGAAAGGGTAGACAAATTTCAGTCTCCACACAGAATGGAATATTATTCAGCCTTTGAAATGGGTGAAATTTTGACACATGCGATAAGACTTTAAGACTTCATGCTTAGTGAAATAAATCACAAAGAATGACCATAGGATTCCATTTATATGGAACAGTCAAGTTCACACAAAGGAAAAGATTATCAGGGAACAAGGAGTGATTGTCTAAAGGGGGGCAGCATTTCTGGGATGAAGAGGTTCTGGAAATAGATGGTGACAAGTCTGCATACAAAAGAGAGTGTTCTTATGCCACCAAATTGCACATTTAGACACGGTTAACATGGTAACTTTTCGTATGTGTGTTTCACCACCACAACAAAGTCCCCAAAGTGTGCTCACTACAATACCTGGTGATTGAAAGTGCTCATTAATGCTAATTAGTATCTATTAGTAATATTCTCAGTGCTAACAATCAAAGTTATAGCCACATGGTGTGATTTGTGCCTTCATAAAGGGGAGCAAACTCCTGGCAGAACACAGAACAAGGCAGCTAAGTGGCTCCTTTTCAGGATTGGGTAAGGAGTGCCCTAGGCTAAGTAAAGCAAGACTTCCAGGAGGGGGACCTAACAAGTCCTGGGGTGCAGAGGGGCCAGGAAGGGGTTTCAAGAGGACTGGGGGAAGCCACAGGAGCTGTATCCAGGCCCTGGCCTAAGTACATCCCCAGACTGGACCATAGGTCTCCATTTCCGGTCTGGGAACTCGGGATTTGTAGTTTTACCATGCCTGGGCTGTGCTCCTTGCTCCAGGCCGTGCAGCAGGATGCCACCTTCATTCCCCCCTAAACTGTGACTCTGCATCTGAGCCAGGGCTAGAACGAAAGGCCCGGCGTGGGGAAGAGCCTGCTCCGGCTGCCCAGAGAGGACCCATGGCCCGTCCTGGCCCCCTTCTGCTCTGTCCTACCCTCTGCTCTGCTGCTCCTCCAGCCAGGAGGGGTCAGGACCCTGGTGTGTGGCCTCCTCACTTAGTGTCACTTTAAGTTGCTTGGCCATATTCTCCACGATGACGTCTCTTCCCAGCTCTCCCGCTGCCGCCGCCGCCGCTGCAGCAGCACACCAACAACGTCTAAACCCCTTATCTCAGACCCATTAGTACCTCTGCTGGGCTGTGGCTGGGACTGGGCTGGTGGCCTTCAGAGGGGGCCTCTGGGGGTGGCATGGTGGGTGACTGGGACGGAACAGAGTCCTGCTGGAGGTCTGGCGATCTCGTGGCTGCAGGTTCCTGATGCATGGAGCCCAGTGCAGTTTCGATTTTCTGCTTAGGTTGGGAGGGCGGGAAGACGGCTGTCCAGAAGGGAGGTGCCTGCTCGGGGCCCGCCTCCCGAGAGGAAGTGAGACAGGCAAGGCGGGCCTGGAGGCAGAGAGGCTGGGTTTGCAAAGGATATCACGCCGCCGAGGAAAGAAAGGCTGAGCGGCTCCTGAAGGGAAGCAGCCCCAAATGGCTTTGATCTTACCCCAGCTGGGACCAGACACGGAGATGAATCACACACAGCCCCTGATTTCAAAGAACCTCGATCTAGTGGAAGAGCTAACCCCCAAAGGGAGACTTTCATGCATTTTTCGAGACTGGTTGCAAAGGAGACCCCTCATCTGGGACTTGGGGAAGTGGTGGGAATTCACAGGGATTCAGGGGTGGGGGCCACTTAAAACGGACAGACCAGCATGTGCAAAAGGCATGGGGCAGCCTGTTTGAGGAGGGGCTTGGGCCATTTTCAGACTAAAGAGAGGACTTTGAGAAGTGTGCCCGGGTGAGATTGTAGCTAAGGAGTTTGGACCCGTTATGGGGGTGACAGAGTTAATAAAGGGTTTGATTCTGAAGGAACCACAGGATTAGCTCTGCATATTGGAACAGTCACTCTGACAGCCTAGGGACAGAGGATCTAGTCCGGTAGAGTGCATGTAGGATACCAAGGGACCTGAGCCAGAGACTGGGAGGATAGTCACTGGAAATGAGGGGAATGGATGATGGGTTGAGTGGTAATTGGGAAGACGGGTAAATATGTAGGGTAGGGATCGGGGAGTGCAGGGCAGCAGATGAGAAGAGGGTGAAGACACAGCATGAGCCATGAGTTGGCTCATGAAATGCAGGCTAGACTCCAGCTCTAGGCAGCCATACCGGGCTAGGACCTCTGGCTTCAAACTTCAAACCACTGCACCGGCCTGTGTGCCCATTCTGTGTTCTGCTCTGAGGTGGGACAAACTAAACGGGATGGTGGCAAGGCCTTGCCATGTAAAGCTAAGTGCATGTGTCAGGGTGGGGCTGGAGGGAGAGCCAACATCCTGGAACAGGAGAGGTCTGGGAAGCATGCCATCCCCCATCCCCCATCCCCCATCCCGGCTAGCACCCCAGAACCCGGAATCAGTCCACCAAACAGGAAAAGCCAAACGTGGTAGGCAGCCATCTGCAAAAGAGACCTAGAAATGAGCTATGATGGGGGTAGAGATGGAGCTGAGGGAACCGAGGTGTTAAAACTGGGAAAGCTTTATTAGTTTCTTTGCTCAAGTTGAAAGCAAGCCAGCCCCAGTAACATCCCGTTGGAATGTAATGCTTCTCAGGGTAAATTTTTGCTGTTTGTGATGCTTGAGGTCCTGCCCTCAGAGCTCTGCACTGGACTTGCCAAGGGACCTGCACGCGCAAGCCCACCTTACTCCACCTTGTCCAGAGTGAGCGGATGACACCACGACATAAAGAATAAGTACCGAGATCTGCCCCGTGACAGCCTTGCTTGCTGCGCCGTGGGGGGACACAAGGACAAATTATTTGCTGGCTACAAGAAAATATAGTCCTGGAGAAACCCTAAATCCAGTGTGTGAGTCTGAAGAGGGGGTGCTGATAACCTCATTCTCTTGATCCTGGAAATTTGGCTCCTCAAAAGCCTCTTGAGAAGCCCACCGTTACCTCACCTTCTCAGGGACAATGATCCCTATAGGCTCCCCAGAATGCTGGCCTCGCCCCACGCCCAAAGTTCGGTCCTCCGGGCGCACGGGGACGCTGTGGGCAACGGGTGCTGTCTGGTCGGCTTCCTACTCTCCTTCCTCCGGGCGGCCGTGGGTGAACCCGGAAGCGGCAGGGGCGGGCCCGCGGGTCGGGGAGCTCCTTGACTGCTGAGTGTGGCTTCCATAGCAACCATGCTGGGCCGGGCAGGTTACCGCGCGCTACCCCTAGGGGATTTTGACCGCTTCCAGCAGTCGAGCTTCGGCATTTTGGGCGCGCAGAAGGGCTGTCTGTCCCCAGAGCGGGGCGTCGTAGGGACGGGGGCTGGTGAGTGGCCCCCAGCAAAGCGGGCCGAGGGGACTGCGGTACCCTCAAGCTCAGTCTCTGCCTCGGCGGGCCCGAGGGATGCCATGAGCGGTGTAGACAGGGGCCTGCAGCCCCAGAGCCCGCGGTGCCCTCGTCTCCCGCAACCTCACCCCACCACGTTTCTCTGTCACGGCAGAGGCCTTGAGCTCCCTTAAGCATTGAAAGAAACCCAGTTCTAGGCAGAGGAGGTCACTGGCACCCTCAGGGCGTCTCCCTGTTGGCGGTGAAGATACACAGAGCAGAAAGGCAGGTCTGCAGCTCTCCGTTATGTCCGGTCCGTTAGGCCTGCCCTGGCCCTGTCTTGTCCCAAAGCCTCCTGTAGCTCCTTTGGCCCACAGGCCAGATCCTGCATGTCTCAGCCTGACCCTGGAGGATTGGGGCCCTCCCTCCCTCCCTCTCCTGCTCGGATGACTACCCTGTCCAAGGATTCAGCCAGGTTGGAAGTCGAGTCTTGATGCCCTGGGGCTTGGGATTCCTGAAGGATGAAACAGAGGCTCCTGCCTGCTGCTTGTCCAGGATTGGGAGGAGAAGGGGAGCAGAGAATAAGCTCATGGCTGGTTCTGGGGCTGTCTCTGTTCCACTTCCACTCTGGGCTCTCGGATCTCTCTTTGGCCTGAATGAGACTCAGCTTCTTAGCTCCTGCCCCCAGGTGCTAAAATTGAAATAGAAACTTTTGATGAGTCTTGGGGCTTAAAATGGGATGAGGGCTAGAAAAAAAAAATCTTAGCCCCTTCTCTGGCTCCTTTTAATAGGCAATTAATTGTGTACCCTGTAGACTCCATAAAGAGCTCTTGAAAGCACGCATTGAGCTGTTGGTGGAGGGAGGGATGTGTTATTCCAGCAGCATTCAGTTCAATGCAGCACATGTCTACAGATGTCCAGGTACTTCTTGTTCTGTGCCAAGCATGGGCAGGCAAATAAATGAGACAAGGCATTGACTCTGCTCAATCAGTGAGGAGAGCATGGCATGGATTGGATTCTCGGATTCAGGGGCTGTACCCAAGCAGAGAATAAGGCCTTTGTGAAGGTTGTTGTGCTTTAGACAGTTGGTTTTGATGTGAGGAGGAAGGAACCCCAGTGATCTCCTGCCCTGAGAGAGGGGCATAGTAGGCATGGAGCCAAATTGAGAGCTGTGAGGTAGAAAGAAGGGGGAAGGTGGGTGAAGGGTGCTCACTGTACTTGCAGCTGTCCTGCCAGGCCTGGCCAGGGCCATGACTCCTCCGCTCTCTTGCTCCCAGGCGTGCCCCAGAGCTGGCCCTCCTGCCTCTGCCATGGCCTCATCAGCTTCCTGGGGTTCTTGCTGCTTCTGCTCACCTTCCCCATTTCTGGCTGGTTTGCCCTGAAGGTAAGGGTGGCTAGCTCAGCCCCAGCATGGTTGGGCCACATTGAAGGTTCTGGAATTGATGTGTACATTCCCCATCTTCTACTCTCTACCCCTAAATATTACCTGACATATACAACTTAAAGGAAAAAAAGGATCATTTTGACTTCGAAGTTTCGTGGGTTCAGTCCATGGTTGGCTGACTCCAAGGCAGAAATATGAAGATATCAGAAGGGAATGGAGGAGGAAAAGCTGCTCACCTCATGGCAGCCAGGAGACAGAGAGGGCAAGAGTCAGAGGAGGGAAGAGCCTGGGACAGGATACAGGCCGGTACTCATCCATTGATGAGGAGAGTGTCATTATAAGCCAATCATCATCCCAAAGCCCCACCTTTCCGATAAGGATACTGAAGCCCATACTTATCCAGAGTCTTCCTAGGAGCCAGGAAGGAATAGAAACAAGTCTTCCCAAACTCCCAAGTCCTGGGACCTGGACACAGATATCCAGTCCAATCATCTTCCCTTTGGGTTAGGCCAAATTAGAAATCAAAACACCCAGCTTGGCCCGGCAGATTATTTGTAGTAGGAATTCAGGGCTTGTTTTCAACGAGGACAGTGCAGATGGGAAAAGAATGACTGATAGAGCTGTAGTTGAGCATCGCCACTCAAAGTAGGCCCCAGGCAGGCCTGGCCTTTTATGCAGCCCTGGGTGCTTGTTTCTTTAGAAAGCTTCTGATTTGGATAGTCTGAAAGGGAGTCCTTGGATGGTCCTGGATCCTGGTTCTGAAGTACCACTGAAACAAATGCTGTGTGACCTTGGACAAGTCACTTTGCCTTTCAGTTTGAACATAGTTGCATCTTGCAGCGCTCTGGGGATTTGAAATTGGCAGAGTCTGCTCAGGTGCTGTTAAGAGTGGCCCAGCCTCTTCGTCAAGGAATCCATGGGGAGATGGTTTCATGGTAGGAGTCATGGCTAGCCTCCAACCACAGAGATGAAGTTTGTCTGGGAGTGACATCAACACAGTGGGCTTTGGAGTCATTCAGACTGCATTGAAATCGTGCCTGTTTCCTGCAGGGCCTATGTGATTTCTGGGCACCTCTCTGAGCTTAACCTTTCTGAGCCTTGGTTTTTTCATCTAGAAATAGCTAAAGATACTGACTGGATTGTGACCAAAGCAAAAGGGACGGAGGGGGAGAAGAGACCTGGGAAAACATCATTGACCAGCCTAGGCCAGCCACTTCCAGTCTTTCTCTTTGCCACTTGGACAGATCGTGCCCACCTATGAGCGGATGATCGTGTTCCGCCTGGGCCGCATCCGCACCCCCCAGGGGCCTGGCATGGTTCTGCTCCTGCCCTTCATCGACTCCTTTCAGAGGGTGGATCTGAGGACACGAGCCTTCAGTGTCCCTCCTTGCAAGGTGAGGGGCTTCTAGCCTGATGTAGCGATGCACATGTATAATACTAGTACTCTGGGAGGCTGAGGCAGGAGCATCTCAAGTTGGAACCCAGCCTGGCCAGTTAAGAAACTTTTTAAGACCCTGCCTCAAAATTAAAAATAAAAAAGCATTTGGGATGCTATTCAGTGTAAAGGCCTTGAGTTCAATCCCTAGTACATGTGTGTGTGAAAGGCTTCTCGACTGCCTCCTGGGTGGGTGGTGGGAGTTGGGTTTGTGCAGAGTGTACTGTGGGTACTAAGACCTTGGTCTGTGGGTAGCTGTCTGGGGTGGTGGGCTAGAAGAGACTGGAAAGTTGAAGGTGGAGGCTGGGAGGGTACTCTTGCTCCAGAACCCTGACCGCATGTCCTTGGGGACGCCAGCTCATAGTCAGGTGAGTGGGTCAGGTCGATGATCCCCCTGAGCCTGACTGCCCCACAGCCCTGGGCCCTGAGCACCTTGTCTCTCCTGGCCTCCCCACCAGCTGGCCTCCAAGGATGGGGCTGTGCTGTCCGTTGGGGCCGACGTCCAGTTCCGCATCTGGGACCCAGTGCTGTCAGTGATGACCGTGAAGGACCTGAACACGGCCACGCGCATGACGGCCCAGAATGCCATGACCAAGGCCTTGCTCCGGAGGCCGCTTCGGGAGATCCAGATGGAGAAGCCAAAGATCAGCGAGCAGCTCCTGGTAGGCGGCTCCTCCTGAGGGGGAGAGCTCAGCCACGGGCACCGGGCCTGGCTGTGCTGCCTGGGTCACTTTGAGCAAGGGCTCCGGGTGTCAGCTGACCACGTGTCCCTAGAGTATAGCCAGCCTCAAAGAGCCAGGGGTCTGGGTGAGGCTGTGCGTTAAGGTGGGTATAGACCACAGCCACTGTGGGCCACGTGTCCCCAAGAAAGGGAAATGCCTGGTGGAAATTCTTGGGGCCCTGCCTCTGACTCAGGTTTCACCCTTCACTGCTGCTGTGACAGCTTGAGATCTCAGGGATGCTGTATGTTCTATGCTGGGTGAGTGTGGGTGAGGGACTGGATTCCCCAGCCCAGCCACTGCTGGGAGGTCCATGAGGACATTTAGCTCCCTTCCCTGGCTTCTCTGTGTGTATGAAAAGCTCCCCTGGAGTTCACCTGACTTCCTCTTTGCCACCAGCTGGCGTAGAAACGAGTGTGCACATGGTGGCCTGTCCCTCACAGCCATGCTCAGCTTGTGCTTGTCCTCCGAGGGCAGTGTGGTTAAAGTTCTCCCTATCTCCCGCCCCTTGATTTCCCCAAGGGAGCAGTGGCTGGGGAGAGGGAAGCAGTGCCTGTCCTGCAGGTCCCTTATCCCTTCAACAAGGACACCAGCAGCCAGCTGGGGAGAATTCCTAGGGACTGCCTTTGTGACCATTGCTGCTTGTAAGGCCAGGATTACTGTTTCACTCTGTGGGGAGGAAACCGAGGCTTAGACGTGATTCCACTTGCCTCTCAGAGGCAGGGTCCAGGGTGGAGTCGGGCCAGGTCCAGACCACCTGCCCTCCCAGCCCAGTCTGCCTCCTGCACCACTTAGGTCATGTGTGGACAGCAGCATCATTCAAAGAACCACTGTCCCCAGGCTCAGCTGGCCGGACAGTGCCAGGGCCACACCTCTCCAGGGCTCTTCGTCCATCTTGCTCCCCCTTTCTGCATACAGACCTACCCCCCTCTGCCCTGCTCCCCCTCTAGCTCATACCCCTTCCCCGCTTTCCTGCTGGGGGCTCCCACTCCTCCCCGCCCACCTTGGGTCCAGACATCCCCAGGGCTCCTGACACAGCCCTGGTCCTCTTCACGGTGACCTCCATCTTGCAAGCCCTTCCTGTCCTTCACCTGGTAGCAGCATTTGGTGCTGCTCTCTCGCTGTCCCTGTCTGTCCCCTCAGGGCCCAGGGGCTGTCATACGCCCCTTCTCCCCATGGCCCTGCCCACTGCTCTAGTCTGTTGGGCATCTGGCTGTCCCACAGACACCAGAGCTGACAGTGAATAGCTATGGTGCCCACTCCGTGTGTCCGCTCTCAGTGACTGCCGCACTCATCCCCAGGACCCATGCTGGAGCCCGGGACATGAGTGCTCCTCCTGTGTGCCCACTATGGTTGGCAGAGTTGTGGGCTCCCCACCACCTCAGCCCATACCCTCCGCCAGATCTGCTTCCTGTCTGGTCTGCAGTTTGCGATAGTGTCAACCTAGGTCCCCCCACCCATCCGGTGTCCACACAGCAGCCAGCAGATAGAAGATTTCTTTCTGAAAAGTGTATCTGCCCTGTGCAGCCCGTCTGCAGCTCCTCACTGCCAAAAAAGAACCCATGAGCAGGAGGATGCCACCGTGGACCCCTCAGCTGTCCACAGTCCCTCAGCCCACACTGTAGGGTCAACGACCCAGTTTCCTGAACATTGCAGGATCTCCAGCCTGGGCTTTGCACATGCTTTTTCCATTGCCTGGAAGGTCTCTGTCCCTCTGCCCATCTTGACCCCTCCTGCCTCAGCTCTTAAGCAGTGGGGCATTCCCAGAGTGGCAGCTTCTCTGAGGTGGGCATGGTGTCTCCAGATCCCAAAGCAGGTGCTCAGGCAAGGTTTGTTGACCAAATTCTATTCCTTCCTGCAGCTGGAGATCAACGATGTGACCAGGGCCTGGGGGGTAGAGGTGGACCGTGTGGAGCTGGCAGTAGAGGCTGTGCTACAGCCGCCCCAGGACAGCCCAGCCGGGCCCAGCCTGGACAGCACCCTGCAGCAGCTGGCCCTGCATCTGCTGGGTGGAGGCATGAACTCCCTGGCAGGAGGCACACTGCCCACAGGGCCAGGTGAGCTGGGGGAGAAGGGTGGACATGCTCACCAGGCTGGTGTCCAGCATAGGCATCGCCACCTGCCCCATTACCAGGCACCTCTGTGCAGTGTGTGTATGCCCAGCTCTTTAGCCCAGCCTGACTGCCTAGCCAACCAGAGCTGGGGAGGTGAAAAAACAAGTCTGGGTGTGTGCAGGAGTGCAGGTTCCTTGGCAGACTCTGTGGGCTAGGTGGCTCCAGGAGGGTCACTGGAAAGAGGCTGGGGTAAAGAAAGGATTGGGGTTTCGGCTGGACCCTGGGGGCAGCTTCTTAGCAGAGGACGTTGAGCACAAGTCTGAAGGGGCAGTGGTCACCATGATCCTGCCCTCAGCAGCCCACTGACCTCTGCACCTCCCTCCCAGCACTGCCAGCCGCCCCGGTGGACACCCTGGAGATGGTGAGCGAGGTTGAGCCGCCGGCTGCCTGGGATGGGTCCAGCCCGAAGCAGCTGGTGGCCGAGGGGCTGCTGACGGCCCTGCAGCCCTTCCTGTCTGAGGCCCTGGTCGGCCAGGTTGGCGCCTGCTACCAGTTCAACATCGTCCTGCCTGGGGGCGCCCAGAGCATCTACTTCCTGGACCTCACTGCAGGTGCTGCTGTGCCACCCCTGGCCACCCTGCTTGCTCCTGCACCCCTGCCCCAGGTTTAGACTGCAGCAGTTTGAGGCGAACCCCTGGCAGGCGGGGGCTCAAATGCATCCCTGCACAGGCAGCACAGCCGGGCCATTTGAGCCCCAGGCCCTGAGCCCTCGTGTGTGGCAGCCTCCTCTGTTCCTGGTTCATGCCAAGCCTGTGTCACCAGCTTCTCCCCATGGGCCTGAGCTCCCAGCTGCACCCTGTGCGCCTCCCCTGCCCTCCCGTCCCTGTCACCATCCCCACTAAAGCTGATTTCTTTCCCCCACAGGGCGAGGCAGGGCAGGGCACGGGGTGCCTGACTGCATCCCTGATGTGGTAGTGGAGATGGCTGAGGCCGACCTGGCCGCCCTGCTGTGCCGGGAGCTGCGGCCCCTCGGTGCCTACATGAGTGGGCGGCTGCAGGTGAAGGGAGACCTGGCTGTGGCCATGAAGCTGGAGGCTGTGCTCCGGGCACTGAAGTAGCCACCAAGGGCCACCTGTCACCCACCCCGAGCTGGCACCGGGCCGGCGGCTGCTTGAAGGAAGAGGCTCCAGCCTGCAGCGAGGATGGCAGGGGCCCAGCCAGGAGCTCCTGGCGGAGGTGGGAGAGACCTAGTCGGGCCGGCCTGCACGTCTCTCCTGTGGTTCCCCCTGGTCGGGCCCTGACCTTCCCCGTCTCCAGCCAGGTGCCCAGCCCTGCCGAGCCCAGCCCACTAGGAACAGCCTGATGCCACCTGGCCCGGGCCTGCACCAGGGACTAAAGCGTGTGGGTCCAAGTGTGTGATGAGGGCCCACAGAGGACAGGAGGGCAGACTGGCGGGTGGGAGGAGGCAGCCCCCAGGAAGAGGTTGCTGCACCCCCTCCTGACTGTAGTCCAGGCCTTACTGGTGTGAGAGGATGAGGGACAGTGGGGCTGCCGCTGACAGCAGCGCCCCAAGGTGACTCGTCCCTCAGCTCCATGCTTTGTGCCTGATCTGGGGCCCAGGACAGCATGCGGGGCCCTGATGTTCGTGCTTCTTCCAGGCTCCATGCCTGTGGCCAATAAACGTGGTGTTGACAGTGTGGCACAGAGTGTGGGGTGTGGGGTGCGGGCTGCAGGTGCGGGTGGGCTAGGTGTCTACACAGTGATGACCTTGCTGGGCCCAGGCAGACACTGGGACCCTGGAGACACTGGAGGGTTCCCCCTGAGGGTCTCCAAGCCCCGCAAAATCATGGATGGGGTGCTCTCTGTTCCTTTTTTTTTTTTTTTTGCTTTTTTTGAGATAGGATCTCAGTATGTAGCCCAGGCTGGCCTTGAACTCTCAGCGACCCTCTGCCTCAGCCTTCTATGTGCTGGGCTTACAGACATGCACATCCACACCGGGCCCTCTCCTTTTCTCTTTATAGTCAGGTACAGGTTTGTCAGGAAGTAGGGACACGGTGCCCCAGAGCTGGTCCTACAAACATTGACCTGATGAAGTCTGGGTGAGGGGCCCCAGTCACCTTCAAGAGAGGAGTCGGGGCCATGGCAGCTGCCCCATCGCACTGTCCACTGCCTGAGGGGAGGGACACAGGCAGGGAGTCCAGGTTCTGGGTCCAGCAAGGACCTGTGAGTGCCACAGAGCTGAGCAGCAAGTCCTTTCTGGAGAGTTGGCGGGAAGAAATAGAACCACACACACAGCCTGACCTCTCTGTGGAGGTTCAGTCCTTAGCTGCCCTGTGACTCGGGCCTGTCCCTTGGCCCAGGCCCTTTCTAGTTCATTGGTTGTCCCCACCAGTGCCAGACCCAGCCTGTCGCTCCTGTAGGTCTTGCCCAGCTGGGGCCACCTCCCTCAAGCCCTGCTGCTGTGCCCTGGGGCTCGGGGTTCACCTTGGGGTCCTCCTTGGGGTCCCGGCCTCTCTGCTTCTCCGGGGGCCTCTTCCAGGCCTCCTCTTCGGTCCCCACCTGCCACATGGCCACCCTGAGGCCCAGCAGGGCTGTCCTTGGCTGAGCAACCCCTCTTCCAGCAGTCACTGTGCCTGTTCCCTGCCATCTGCCCCTGTTCCTGCTGGGCCACAAGCCCTGTGGCATGGTCACCACAGTTGCCTTCCCAGGCCGCTACCCACAGAGCCCAGGGCATCTCCCAAGAGCCTGCGCTGCCCCCTCCCCTGTCACCTTTAGGGGAAACAAATTCCCAGACCTTCAGGTGTGAGAGGCTCAGACAGCTTTTAGGGGAAAGTGAAACTCCTGCCTATCTGTGTGGGCTGGAGCTAGAGGTCTGTGACTGCTGTTAACGCCCCACCCTGCAGAGAGGGAGGACTGTTGGACGGCCACCTGTTAATCAGAGATGGCTTCCGGGAGGAAGTGAGGCCTGACCTGGAACTCATCACAGTGGGAATAGTGCAAGGTGGAGGGAAAGCCCCTGCCAGGGCACAGGCGGAAGAGGCAGGCTGGCACCTCTGATGTGCGCCCCTGGAACCTCAAGTGTGAGAGGGTTGTGTGTAGGGACTTTATGGGAAGGAGACAGAAGTAACTGTCATTATATGCCAATTGTATGTCCCTGTACTGAATGAGACACTTCCTATATTTTTTCTTCAAAATAACCTAGTAGATAACTATGCTACTTAATATGTTAATATACAATGCATTATTTTGAAATAAGTATTTATACTTTGAATAGCTAGTACATGCACACATGGTTCTAAAGTTTAAAAGGATTAAAAAAGGCATACTATGAAAATTGTCCCTCATACACGTGTCTCAGCACATGTGACCCAGACCTTCCTCCAAAAAGGTTTCCCTGCCATTAGTCTCTTGGTTTTTCTTCCAGAAGGTTTTTGCTATTTTAAAACACACTGTTATGTTAGAAAAGCCCAATACAAAGATTAAAATATGCAGTGTGTTTAAATAAAATTTATTGCAATGAAAGACACATTACCATGAATCCCCCTCAAAATCCTTCCTCTCACTTCAAACACTTATCCCACCATTCTTGCCACTTTCTGAAGCAGGTCTAGAAGTCCTCTTTTGTGTCTTTTTGAGGTGTGATTGAGAATTCAGTGAATGCTGCTGCCAGGCGCCATCCTGCAGAAAGGCAGGCTCATAAGAACATGACAGTGTGTTCTCATCAACTTTATTCACCGGACCCGACATTGTTACTTCCGGCTCATCCCAAAGTCAAAATGATCATGAAAGAGAAGCATTTGGAATGGATTCCGGACACTGAGGCAGCCACAATAGCTCAACTAAAAACACTGAAGAAAGGACTCCAGAGCTGCTTTAGAAAGTGGTCAGAAAATGGGGTAAACACCTAAGAGTGTTTGAAGGAGGATTGTGGAGGGAAGGGGTTAACTGCAATGTGTCTTTTACTATAAGAAATTATTTTGTAACTTAAACGTTCATGGTATTCTTTTTACCCAGTTCATAGCTATCCTCTGGATACAATGTTGCTTTACCCATTTAAGGACATGCCTTAGGATCTTTCCTTATTAGCACCCACTTTCCCCGTGATATTTTGGATTACAAGGGATTCTACTGTAGTACCATCATTTATTTAACTTTTCCTGGGTGGGTGATTTCTTTCTAGTGTTTTGCTACAGCTACAGTGAATAACCTGTATCAACTTTTACTGTGCTGTTTTGCCAATGGCTGACAGAATCTTAGAACTGGAGCTGCTGGGTCAAAGCACTTGTAAATTCATAAATATGTAATTTAATAAATATTGCCAACATGCCCTCTTTGGAGATTTTACCCATCATTGGTGTTTGAGAATATTTTTTTTTCTCATAGCCATGTCAGTGCAGCATGCTATTAAATTTTCCGGCTTTGTTTTGTTTTTGTTTTGACACTCAAAAAAGAGAAGTCTCGGTGTAGTTTGTTTTGTTGTTGTGAGTTTATTGTTCAATTGTTTGTTGCTTTTTTCCCCCATTGCTAGGGATTGGGACTAGGGCCTTGACGCTGAGCCACATCCCCAGTACTTTCTAAACAAAAAACAAAACAAAAGAAAATTTTAAAAATTTAAGACAGGGTTTCACTAAGTCACTAAAGTTACCCAGGCTGCAATCCTCCTGCCTCAGCCTCCCAACATACTGGGATTACAGGTATACAGCTGCAGGAAACAGGAGAGAGAGAGGGAGCAGGGGGTCAGGCAGGAGAGAGGAGAAGCGAGGAGAGACTGAGCCGAGGAGGAAGGATGATCCGGGCGGGAAGGGTGGCCGGGCGCCCTCGGGTCCAGACTATATTCCGCCTTGGGGCTGGGGATAGAGGAACTGGGCCACGAGGGGCCCGGACTGCTCACTGGCGCTGAGCCCTGCCAGTACCAAAACCGCGACCCTGCCGCGGAGACAGAGTCTGCGGGTCAGCCAGGACTTGCAAGCCTGGAGCAGCGCAGCCCGAGCTCGCGGCGCCACCTTGTGGCGGGACCACGGCTGTCTCCCTACAGATGTGATGTTTCTCCTTCCACAGGGAGCTTTCCAGGGCCAGGAAGGGCGGTGAGCTGCGGTGCGGTTAGTTCCCTCCCCACACCTTGCCTAACACTGAAATGCCCAGCATTCCTACACTAAATAGTACACGGTGTCATAAAACAGTACGAAGTGAATCTTGGAAGGTTTCCGTGGGAATCGCCCTGCCAAGAGTCGTGCATTTGTGTGTAATTGTCCACTGGTTGTCAGCCCTTCGTGGATACTTTTTTTTCCCTCTCCTATACTGGAGATTGAACCCAGGTCTTTGGCACTGAGTTTTATCCCCATCCCTTTTTTGTGCTTTTGATTTTTGAGGCATGGTGTCCCTACGTCTCTTGACTTGCCTGGGCTGGGCTCCAACTTTCAATCCTGCCCAGGGGGCCGGGATAACGGGGTGTGTCCCCGACTTACAGCTTCATTTGCATCCTTGTGTGCCCACACAATTAAAAATCCTCTGATTTACAAACTCTTCAATTATAATGAAACACTCATAAACACTACATTTAATAAACCAGCAATGAATTGCTGTGCTGACATACATTAACAATGATGCTTTGTAGGCATTTGATGAAGCATTTGGCAATTTGGATTGCTCTGCAGTTTTTGCACTTCGGAGTGGAGACTGTCTTAAAGCTTAAACACTTATTTAGGTCCCAAAGAAGCTCAGGCACCCTGGGCTGCCCCTCAGGTTCTACCTTACCCGAAAGACAAGTGACCTCATTTTAGCCAACACTCCTGGAAGGATTAAAAGTTCTCAAGAGTAACTCAGTGAGATCCTGTCTCACAATAAAAAATGTAAAAAGGGAGGAAAGAGGGAAAGAAAGGAAGGAAAAGGAAGAAAGGTCTCTTAAACACCTTCCATGGGTTGTGCAGGAGAAAGACCCAGAGACAGGAGAACCCATTGGTGGTGGCCGGCGCATGCAGGCGGTGTCACTGTGGGAGGAGGACGGGCACCAAAGGCCACCTGACCCCTAGCCCAGCCGGCGGACACCGCACCGCCCAGCAGCACCTCGCCCACATCCTCAGCCTGCTACCTGCAGCCCAACATGGTCACAACCCAGAGCTCGCCACCAGGGGGCGAGCGAGACCCCTGAGAGACGCAGGGCCGCAAGCTCAGGAACTGCTAGCCCTGGGCTATCAGAAGCTCATTTTATCTGTAAATTGTGATTATTATTTTATTTCAGTACTGGGAGTTGAGCCTAGGGACACTCTACCATTGAGCTACATCCCCAGGGCTTTTTATTGTTTTGACACAGGATCTAGCTAATTTGCCCCAGGCTGGCTGGAAACTGGCAATCCTCTGGCCTCAGCCTTCTAAGTAGTTGGGATTGCAGGTGTGTGCCACTGTGTCTGGTTGAAACTCATTTTAAATATAAAGATCTAGGTGGAGTTTAAAAAAAAGGAACAAACAAAAAATTCACAAGAAGAAAATGAAGAGCAACAACAACCACATAAAAGGTGTAAAAGGTTCGGTTCATCAAGATGGATGCTACAGCAGCTCCCAGCAGATGTGATCTGGAGAACAGAGCTTCAGCATACAGACAACTGGGACTGTAGAACAGGAAGAAGAGCTAGGCACACACCTGTAATAAATCCTTGTACTCAGGAGGCTGAGGCAGGAGGATCACCCCGGGTTTGAGGCCAGCCTGGGCTACATTACTTCAAAAAAACAAAAACAAAACTGAAGTAAGAAATACAAATCCACCCTTATGTTACACAGGGCAAGGACACAGAGAATCAGTCTGTTCATGGGTAATTTGAATAACATCATTAGCCAACTTAATCTGGTCAACTTTTTCCCTTCATTTTTTTTCCCCCCCTAGAACTAGAAATTAAACTCAGGACCTTGTGTTTGCCAGGCAGGACCCATACCATTGAGCTACATTCCTGGCCCTCAGTAAACTTTTTTTAGGGGGCTCTACCCAACTGCAGCAGAACACACAGCCTTTCCAGTGCTAGTGGAACTTGGCCAAGATAGACCATAGTCTGGGCCATGAATCAAATCTTAACAAATTAAAAATAATTGGAATCATACAAAGTATGTTCTAACATTCTAATGAAATTAAACTATAAATCAATAACAGAAAGAAAAACATCTGGAAAGTCCCCAACTATTTGAAAATCAAACAGCATACTTTTTAAATAACCTGTGGTTCAGAGGAGAAAGCAGAATAATTAGAAATATTTTAACTGAATGGAAATGAAAATACAATGTATCAAAATTTGGGGGATACAATTTAAAGCAATATTTAGGAAAAAGTTTTGGTGACTTCATTTAGGTTAGATTTCTTAGATAGGGCTGGGTGTGGTGGTGCATGCCTGTAATCTCAGCACTTAGGAGCCTGAGGCAGGAAGACCGCCGCAGGAGTTTGAGGCCAGCCTGGTAGTGAGTTCTCATACAGCCTTCATAGCAAGTTCAAGACCAGTCTGAACTATACAGTAAGACCCTGGGGCCAGGGATTTAGTTCAGTGGCACCTCGCCTGCCTCACAAGTGCAAGGTCCTGAGTTTGATCCCTGGTACCAAAAAAAAAAAAAATCCCCTGTATAAAAAAATTCTTAGGCTAGGAGGCACAATCTACAAAAGAAAATAAAAACTGACAAATTGGCTCTCGCCAAAATCAGAAGCCCCTGCTCTTCAAAAGGTACCAATAAGAAAATGAAAAGGTAAACCAGATTGAGGAAAAGATTTGGAAAATACATAACTGATGAAAGACTTCTCCAGAAAAGATAAAAGGACACTTCCCACTCAATAATAAGATAAACAGCTGATGAAAAATAGGCAAAAGGATTTGAACAGCAACTTCACTGAAGGGGGAGACTGTGGCTGGTAATCACAGAGCAGTGGGTCAACATTATTAGCCCTTGGGGAAATGAAAATTGAAACCATCGTGAGATAGCAGCCAATACCTACGGGGATGGCCTAGGAGAGAGGAGATGGCACATAGCCAAGCCTGTGGAACAACAGCTATCTTAGGAAACATTGGTGGTTTCTCATACAGTTAAACCTACACTTATTTGCTTCAGTGACCTACCTCACACCTAGCTGTACACCCAAGAAAAATGAAAACACGTCTGGCCACCACACAAAGACCTGAGTGTGTTTATAGCAGGGTTTTTTTTTGCATAATTGCCCCAAACTGGAAACAATACTGGTAAACAGAAAAAAAATTGTGGCATATCTATGCAATGGAATATTACTTAGCATTAAAAAGGAACAACTATACAGGAACTGAATATATAACAATGCAAATGCATCTCAAAAAGCATTATGTCAGGGCTGGGGATTTAGCTCAGTGGTGCTGCTGCCTGCCTCGTAAGCCCAAAATCCCAAGTTCGTTCCCCGGTACCAAAAAAAAAAGAAAGCATTATGTCAGACAGGAATCTATTTTTTGAGATATATTGCCCAGAATAGTGACTACAATAAATAAAAATGTACACTTCAAAATTGCCAAGAGAACAAATTTCAAATGTTAATACCACAAAAACGATAAATTCTTGAAGTTAAGTTGATTTCATTATTCCACATCATATTCATAAATAATAACATACTTTTGTACCTTATAAATATGTACAGCTATAATTTTTCAACTTATAATTTAAAAAATAATTTTTGTGGTACTGGGTATTGAGTCCAGGGACACTTTACCAAGTCCTTTTCATTTTTAAAAAATATGTTCCAGGCTGGCCTCAAACTTGCAATTCTCCTGCCTCAGCCTCTTGAGTAGTTGGGATTTCAGACCTGCTAAAAAATAAAAATGTAAATTAATAATGCCATTCTGTTAAGTGAAGGAAGCCAGATACAGAAGGCTCCGTACTATATGGTTGCATTTATATGAGATGCTGGAAAAGGCAGGAGATGGACAGGAAATAGCTGAGCAGTTGCCAGGATTGGAGTGGGAGGAAACTGATTGCTATGAAGCCCTAGGGACCTTGTAAGGACGGTAGGATTTTTCTGTATCTTGATGGTGGGGTATTTATAGACTTAGGGATTTGCATTGATTTGTCAAAACTCATCAACCTGTAGCTTTAAAAGGGTGAATTTTGCTGTATGCAAAATTTCCTAAATATACCTGAGTTATACTGAAAAAGTGAAAAAGGCAATGACTGAATCAGAAATGAGAAAGCCTTTGATAGCTCCTGAGAGAACCCTGGGGATGCAGCCCTGCTCCCCCGGGGGGCCTTGGACGCAGTGATGATCTGTGCTCCTGGGAGCAGCTCCCAGGCTGTGCAGACCCTAGCAGAAGCCAACGCCTCCTTCCTTAGCCTGGCCTGAGGTGTGGCTGGGGGGGATGAG